TGACAGCAAGACATTTATGGCAACATAAAATAACGGTCACCTTTAAGCCTGTAAACACCTTGAGTGAAACCACGCCAAAAACAAAGTGAATACGACTCAGCGAAGAAGATGAGCATGATCGACAAACTTCAACGTAATAACCAGGAAGAACATTAAGTTGGTCAGAGTGGAAGAGAACTTGCCAGCAGAATACACGAAAACAAGCTTGCCAGCTGAACACATCGTCCAATGTCACTGGTTTAAAATCACAGAGACGTTGAAGGACATTGGTGCAATTGGAATAACGTCCAACTACTTGCTGACGCAAGGACAAAACGAGGGTGGAAGTTTGACAACATCGATGGCCAACGGACCAGTCGGATCAAATAAATAAAGCTACCAAAATAGAAGATTATTCAATCAATCGATCAATCAATCAATCAAGTGAGACTAAAAGCAGGCAAAAAGCTGGGGGGACCGTCACAATCAAAACGGAGGAAAAGAGTAGTCGAAGTAAAGTCACCTAACGAACCAACCATACACGAGGAAACGGGGACTTCGAAGCAAATATAAGTCCATGCTGACCAACCTCTGGACCAAACAATCAAAACTATCGGATCAAAGACACAGAACAAGCCAAGCATACACGAGCAAACGGAGCCTAAAATCAAATCCGAGCCCACGCTGACCAACCTCGGGACAAAACGATCATTTTCGAGTTAGTACATTAAGTCACAAGCTAAATAAGCGCACACAGGAAACATTTAACCACTCACCTTCTCAATGACGATGTCATATTGACTGATGGTAAAATGCCCGAAATTCCTGTTCCTTTTATTCCTAAGACCACACTATTTATCTTGCCAAACAGTACGTTCCACGTTTAGCTTTGAATCTCCTCTACCCAAGATCGGCTTTCTCGTTTCTCTTCTAGTGTTATCGGGATTTCGCCTTTAATATCTTCAAGTGTACTACGGTAAATAGTTTGTGGCTTTCGGCCGATTAAAACTAGGTCGATGTTATCCTCATAATTGAAGAGTTACCAACAAACAATGATTTGATTTTTTCCGAAAGCCTATTTACTCTTTGTTTATATTAGAAACTCTTAGAATTTGTTAATGCGTAGATTTTATGGATCCACAATCGAAGCTTCGACTATCAACGATTGGTCTTCTTGACAAGAGTCACACCAGTGTCTCTTATCGAAGACCTCCGTTGGTTGAAACCACTGCATTAGTCGAGAAGGCTAAAATGATTGTCCATAGTGGTAGATTCATCACAAGAAGATTGTCCACGGTAAGCCAATCCATGTTGCAAGCTTGGGGCATTACAACCGACTGGTCAGTGCTTGGGAAAGTTTATTTTGTTCGTGCCCCGTCCTTGTACAACCCGACATGATGTTGTTCACACGAAAACGGCCCCACAACATGAGGTTAGTTGGCTTTATATACCACTTACTATTCGATTGTCGCTTGCTTATCAAGGCGCTGAGTTTGAGCGTAACACAAATTCTGATACATCCATTTCCTTTTTCTATGGATAAAACTGGCTCAGTATTCTGTTTAGCCACGGTGCACTGGACTGTTTCCCTCCTAATTAGGAAGGGGTAATGAGTGGAGCGACAAGAATTTGTTGGTACTGTAAGAGTTTCTCTTAACATGTTCTAATTTGGTAGAAGTCGAAATATACTGTGTGTTGTTTGAGAACCAATGGACGGGTAAATATTGGCTCCATGAAAACCCACGCATCTATACATACACGATAGTCGATTAATCGTACATGCATGACGAACTGAACAGTGATGGAGTGTAACAAAAGACTATATCGCTTTCGTTGAACATATGTGAGATCGTGGGCCGGAATTCTACCACTCAGATGTCTGCCTGAGGCCAGGAGATGTCACGCTTTGTTACCGGATCAGTTTGTATCCAAATATTTCGGTTTGTCGTACAAACTGGTCGAACGAGGCAGTCCATGTTTAACGGATATACCCGCTTGAAAAAGCCAGAGATAACTTGTCCAATGAGGTTGTGGATGATTTGTCAGACAACGGCATATTTAAGTCATTATTTCGAACTGGTAACTAGCTGCTTTACTGAAAGCTCGAAGTGCCAAACATTGTAGAATAAGGTGAGTTGTTTATTGATTTCTGGCACTCAGCAGACTAGGGATGTTGGGGAAGGACTTTGAAAAACCACCACATACCTCCCGTTCACGCGGGTTGGCAGAGCTTGATCAATTTATATCCTCGTGTTATGACTGTCGAAATTAGGTATTTCACGTGCCCAAAACATCAGTGAGCACCTTTTATCACATGGGTTGTGACACTGAATAAATGTATCCCGCGCTTCAAGACAGGACTCTGATTATACTCTACTGGATTATTGATAGTGGGTGTTTCTTATTCGCCCGGTCAACAAGCTCGACCAGTCCAAACGTTGTGTGTGATGGAATAATGAAGACTAAATTGTTTCTGCACACCAAGTTGGTTTTAATTGGAGACTCACCTGGAATACAGCTGAATCGTTCGTTTGTGATGTCTTTCCCAACTGAATGTGCTGCACCGGGCCATCCCATGTTTCAGTCGGTATGATATTGGAGATATTGCAGTGGTTTGTCTGGGCGTAACATACCACTGGCGGAAAACTCATCGGCAAACAATGACATGCTTTTATCTTCTTGGGGGGTTCATCGGGTATGCGCGGTTCCCGGATTTTCGTCAAAGGTATGTTCTACCTGAACCAAAATTGCACGAAATCCCACTTGTCCCCTCCCCAAATTAGTTTTAACAGGAGAGTCATATGCAGTTGCTCAAAAACATCCTAAAGGAAAGATTCAGCTGGGTTCCAGCTAATTAGCTTGTGAATACCAAATTGGTATGCAGATGGCTATATTGGTCAAATTTCCTTCAACTTGGACTCACGTGGGACAGTATGTATTCGGAAACTCAGGAACTGCGCCTGCCTGACGAGCCCAGGATAGGGCGAAACCAGTCATGTTGTGTCGAAAATTTTTCGCCAACGTTTCTAGCCTCTCCAATGCAGCCTGAATCAATGCACAATCATGACGAATCTAATCCTAATACATTGGTTTCATCATATTCGTGGTGTTTATCGGAGAAACACTGCCAGCCTCTCTCTGAGAATCAGATGGGAAATCCTTGGATTTTTGACCCACTTAACCAACAACAACAACTTTTCTCGTCTAGGCTCAATCACTGTCGATGTAACATTAATGACATTCTTTTAGATGCATGTTCGGGTGTACGTACTCAGCAAACTCTACACCGTCTACCATACTAGATCTATCGATTTTGTTCAGTCACATCGAATGTAATGTGTGTCCTCTTCCATAGAGTCTCGTCCTCGTCCAACATTTTTCGTCCGAATTCATAAAGTGATTTAACTTTGATTAATGAGTGATCTTTTGCTCCCACAGATTCTTTTTTAGGAAAGAATAGATCGTCTTATGTAAATTTGTATTTTTACCTGAGGAAAACTTCGGGGATTTTGCCTGTGGCATTGTAATAGCTGAGTTTCGATAATCAGGCCAACGGCCTTAATTTTGCCTCTATTTGTCTACAACACAAAACGAAGCGGTCTTTGCGGGTGAAGTCCTTATGAGCACCTTTTATCACATGGGTTGTGACACTGAATAAATGTATCCCGCGCTTCAAGACAGGACTCTGATTATACTCTACTGGATTATTGATAGTGGGTGTTTCTTATTCGCCCGGTCAACAAGCTCGACCAGTCCAAACGTTGTGTGTGATGGAATAATGAAGACTAAATTGTTTCTGCACACCAAGTTGGTTTTAATTGGAGACTCACCTGGAATACAGCTGAATCGTTCGTTTGTGATGTCTTTCCCAACTGAATGTGCTGCACCGGGCCATCCCATGTTTCAGTCGGTATGATATTGGAGATATTGCAGTGGTTTGTCTGGGCGTAACATACCACTGGCGGAAAACTCATCGGCAAACAATGACATGCTTTTATCTTCTTGGGGGGTTCATCGGGTATGCGCGGTTCCCGGATTTTCGTCAAAGGTATGTTCTACCTGAACCAAAATTGCACGAAATCCCACTTGTCCCCTCCCCAAATTAGTTTTAACAGGAGAGTCATATGCAGTTGCTCAAAAACATCCTAAAGGAAAGATTCAGCTGGGTTCCAGCTAATTAGCTTGTGAATACCAAATTGGTATGCAGATGGCTATATTGGTCAAATTTCCTTCAACTTGGACTCACGTGGGACAGTATGTATTCGGAAACTCAGGAACTGCGCCTGCCTGACGAGCCCAGGATAGGGCGAAACCAGTCATGTTGTGTCGAAAATTTTTCGCCAACGTTTCTAGCCTCTCCAATGCAGCCTGAATCAATGCACAATCATGACGAATCTAATCCTAATACATTGGTTTCATCATATTCGTGGTGTTTATCGGAGAAACACTGCCAGCCTCTCTCTGAGAATCAGATGGGAAATCCTTGGATTTTTGACCCACTTAACCAACAACAACAACTTTTCTCGTCTAGGCTCAATCACTGTCGATGTAACATTAATGACATTCTTTTAGATGCATGTTCGGGTGTACGTACTCAGCAAACTCTACACCGTCTACCATACTAGATCTATCGATTTTGTTCAGTCACATCGAATGTAATGTGTGTCCTCTTCCATAGAGTCTCGTCCTCGTCCAACATTTTTCGTCCGAATTCATAAAGTGATTTAACTTTGATTAATGAGTGATCTTTTGCTCCCACAGATTCTTTTTTAGGAAAGAATAGATCGTCTTATGTAAATTTGTATTTTTACCTGAGGAAAACTTCGGGGATTTTGCCTGTGGCATTGTAATAGCTGAGTTTCGATAATCAGGCCAACGGCCTTAATTTTGCCTCTATTTGTCTACAACACAAAACGAAGCGGTCTTTGCGGGTGAAGTCCTTACGAGATGAAGACTTTGCTTGATAGACGTTTACATATATAGACAAACAGATATATATATATGTATACATATATATATACATATAATATCCCTCGCTGGTGCACTACTTAGCTAGCTATCTAGCAAATGTGTGTGGGTACGCGGGTTGAGTGAGTAGACGGGTGAGTGAGTGAATGTGTGAATGAGTGAGTGGTTGGGTGGTTGGGTGGTTTGACAGTGTAATTAGCTAGCAGGTGAATTAAAGTGATTAAGATACGTGGATATTCAGCTGGCTTACTCGTTCTAAAGTTGAGCAGGCAGCCGATTACTGTTGCAGCTATTCGTCTAGTTAATTTGTCACTCAATTGGTTAGTTGTTTATTCGTGCAATTGGTTGCGTAGTTAGTTCGTTAGTGCCTATTTAGCTATTCGATTGTTTCGTTAATTACTTAAGTGTTTGCCTAGATATCTAGTTAGCTAATTGGTTAGTTAGTTATTTAGCTAGATAGTTGAATATTCAATTTGTTAATCGCTCCGTTGGTTTGTTTTTATTTGGTTAACTAGCTACTTGGTGAATTTTTGCTTGTGTTTGTGGTTAATTAGTCAGTGGGTCAACGGATCGATACATTTTTTAGTTAGTTTGTTAGTCGGTCGGTTGCCCGCCAGGTTATTTGACAATTAAGCGAGGATTTGCGTGTGCAAGTATGCATGTATCTATGTGTTCACTCGTATTTTTAGTCCACTGCACGCTCGCCGTAATAAAATGGCCTTGGCCGGAAACAAATTTTAGTGTTCAAGGAGCAAATGGCTGTTGGGTAAAATTTTGCAAGAAGAGGGATCTCGCGTGACGTGGACACGAGCTAGTGGATCATACCAGCTCCATGTTCCTGCCATCTGAGTAACTGATAAGAAGATGTAGATAGATGCATTCGTTTTCCTATGCTTTGAACTTGCCAGCACATATCGTGTTCTTACGTGAATGAAGACAGAGCCACGTGGAACACAACAGACGAGCATCAGATATCTGCCAATGTACATGGATACGGGGATGCTGGTGCCGTTTTCCCACTTTTGTTTTTTTGGCGGGGTTCTGCGGAATAACAAGCACAAGCGGCTACCACCCGCGGCTGGCTACTCTTCCAGGTTCAGTTATTTTGTTTGTCAGAGTTCCGCTGGTTTGGTAGGGACAGAAAGTCACCGAGAGCAACTGCTTCGAGTGTTCAAACAACATTGGGAGCAGGGTGAGCACAAACATGAACTCTGGATTCGTGTGCTTTCCCTCATCACCTATCCATGCACGTAAGTTCACAGACCCATAAACAGGTACACTAGCCTGTATTAGCATGGCATCATCCAGTTTATTCAAACAGTCAGAGCTGGCCAAGGCTGTCCCAAACAGTCACACGAGCTAGTGGATCATACCAGCTCCATGTTCCTGCCATCTGAGTAACTGATAAGAAGATGTAGATAGATGCATTCGTTTTCCTATGCTTTGAACTTGCCAGCACATATCGTGTTCTTACGTGAATGAAGACAGAGCCACGTGGAACACAACAGACGAGCATCAGATATCTGCCAATGTACATGGATACGGGGATGCTGGTGCCGTTTTCCCACTTTTGTTTTTTTGGCGGGGTTCTGCGGAATAACAAGCACAAGCGGCTACCACCCGCGGCTGGCTACTCTTCCAGGTTCAGTTATTTTGTTTGTCAGAGTTCCGCTGGTTTGGTAGGGACAGAAAGTCACCGAGAGCAACTGCTTCGAGTGTTCAAACAACATTGGGAGCAGGGTGAGCACAAACATGAACTCTGGATTCGTGTGCTTTCCCTCATCACCTATCCATGCACGTAAGTTCACAGACCCATAAACAGGTACACTAGCCTGTATTAGCATGGCATCATCCAGTTTATTCAAACAGTCAGAGCTGGCCAAGGCTGTCCTGGTCAAACAGTCACATTTTTCACATATGCTCGATTTGCACTAGGCAGATGGTGCCTACCTGAATGCAACAGGGAACATACTGATTGTTCTCAGTGAACGAGCCCATATATTGTACAATTAAAGCCCACAAATGTAGATAGTTTTGCCGTCGCGATTATTTGTGTCACACCTGACCGAAAGAATCAACGTTGGACGTTTATCGTTTGTGGGAACATGAATCATTAACTAATTCTCAAGTCCGAATTTATCCCACCGAAACTCTTGCAGCTGTTACGAAAACGCCGGTTTTGTGCTACTTGGTTTTACCAAGTAGGCTCATTAATCCATTAAAATTTCAACCTCTCATAGAAGGTGGGGCCTTTCGGACGACATTTGTTTTAATTGAATTGTCGGATAAACCGACCAGGAATGCCAAACACTTGGAAATGCCTGAGAACATTTGAAAACACTCAAGGCACCGCACTCGGATGTAGAGCACGAATCGGAAATTTTACACGAAAGAAATTGACTGTCAGCACTTCTGATAGCGCGGTCAAACGCATTTCCCAAGTGGCGTTATTTCCGGAACATTTGCTTACATTAGGTTAACCGTCGTCGGATGTAAGTCGCCAGTAGTATTCACCAACGGACGTGAAAATCAAAATGGTAAACTTTCACTCACGATTGAATCAAACAACAATGTCCACAATTCCTTGATGTAATGTAAACGCAAGAGACTGACACCTTTATATTAAGAAAAATTCTCACGTGAGTTCTCTCTGGAAGGCGGAAATCCAGTAACCTGATGGCTGTATGTCCTTGGGATACGTGAGAACACTTGTTTGAGTCCGACGATCTACGGGAATCGAAAATGTGAACGATGCTGAAATGTTTCAACGGTAGTAGGACATACTTGGTCATGCCAGTAAAACAACGAACTGTTCTGATGCCGGAATCGGCGTTCCGTTGGTAGTTCCGTTTGCTTCTTCACGCCTTCTTCATGTGCATAAGGTGCTTCATTTGAAGATCGGCAATAAAACCAATGCGCTCACTTCTACCGACATTGAGCTCCCCCCAATTCAAGCTGTCTTAGTCCCATATTACATTATGCTAATTTGTTCGCATTTTAGGTTGAACATGTTTTGGTCACGAATCCAGCTTTTTCTTCTCTGTGCCTTGGTTTTGGCTTCGGTCGACACGTACCTGGACGTTTCTACTTATCTGAACGCCGATGGAACTCCCAATGAAGCTGCACTGAGACGGTTGTGGAGTCCCAGGGATTATCATCGTCCACTAACACACGACCAGATACGAGCATTTTTCCGAGAAGCGCTTGCTCATGAGCCGGTGGAAAATGACGTCGTCGGTGCCCCTGGTGTGGAAAATTTAATTCGCTATGGAAGATGATATGTAGTCTCTTGAAATCGGTGAATTAAACTGCTAAGACAACCAGATCTTTGCGATATTGAGCACTTGCACCAGGTTGTTAGTGCACAACAATATATGAGCTGACCGTCTTTAGCACTGAGAATCACGCGTAAGCGTCGGTTAAAGTGTGGTCAAGAATATAGCCGTTAGCAAGAAGACTAATTCTGAGGTTGGATCTGCCAGACTCGATGCACAAGTGTGTATGTGTGTGTGTGTGTGTGTGTGTGTGTGTGTGGTAGGTGCCCCAGTATTCACTCACACATTGAATCGATCAATCAATCAGTCGTTCAGACAGAAGACAATCATGCAGCCATTCAATGAAAACGATTGATCAATCATTCCGTCGCTCTAGTGCCCTTAGGATTTCTCTTTACCTAGCATCCTTCCGCCTCTATCTATCTATCTATCTATCTATCTAACTACCTATCTATCTATCTATCTATCTATCTATCTATCT